CTCTCTCTCTCTCTCTCTCTCTCTCTCTCTCTCTCTCTCTCTCTCTCCCTCTCCCTCTCTCTCCCTCTCTCTCGGCTTATACCTCTATGTGTGTTTATTTATATGCACGTGGTCATGTAGATCTTATTTTGGGGGATAAGTTCTCTCACTGAGCTCATTGATTGGTAGACAGCTTGACCACTGACCTCCAGGATCTGCCTGTCTCTGCTCACCTTGTGCTTGGGTTATACAGATATAAAACTATGACTGAATTTTTCACATGGGTGCTTGGGATCTAAATTCAGGTACTTTCTATGCCTTTTCCATAGCTCCCTAATTAATTTTATTCTTGTCTTTTTTAGATGGTGTTTTGCATTTTTATTGTTAGATCCAAACCATGGAAATTTGAACTTAAGATGCTGAAGAAACAATGCAAAGATATCTAATCAGCATCCAGTGTACCTTGCCACTCTCACTTTTAAATAAAGATGCTTCAAGATAAACGACCACCACAGCTGACCCACTATCTTCATTAATTGTGTGTGTGTGTGTGTGTGTGTGTGTGTGTGTGTGTGTGTGTATCTGACACTGAGAAAGAGTGATGCTATTTTCTGAGGTTTTGCAGCCTTCTCTAGGAGGTGCCTTTATCTCTGAGGAGAGACAATCTGCTTATAATAGATGGATGTTATTTCTAACCTAACTAAGTTCCAAACATAAATACTTTCCAATGTCCACAGTTGCTCCATGGGGTCCCTTCTTCACTCATTGAAATTCACACAAGTGCATGGAATTAGCAAAACACTAGCAAAGTGACTATCAGTTGCGTTACCATCTTTGAAGTCATTCATTTCCCCATTTCAGTTCCAGATCATTCCAGAGAAAGTCAGTTCCCACTTAGCTCACGCATGACAGGCTAAGGAATTCTCTAGGGAAGGCTTTATTTTCATAACCTTAAGACAGGGTTTGGGCAGATGGAGAAAAAATAGTTGGGGTCTTGTATCAGAACTCCCTTAGCCTCCAAGTTCTGTTTGGTTCTGCTTGGCTCAAGACACAATCTGGCAAAGTTCACAAAGAATTCTCCAATGATTTTCTGGTTGAGTAGTGTATTCTCTACCTATAAACAAATATGGGGAGGGTGGATTTGTTGGGGTCAACCAGAACACCAGTTACACTTCATAGAATACCTGGATTGTAGTTCATTTGCAATGATGGCTGGTCGGGACCTACAAGTCCAGGTAATCTGTTGCCTTCATCGTCTTTCTGGAGTTTAGGGAGAAGATCAAAGTGACACATGGCTCATGGAGAGCAGCAACTCCTGGAATTGTCTGTCTTCTGTGTGTGGTGGGTGAGGTTGCCACCCAGAGACCTGTTATGGGGTCAGATAGCAGGCATAATTCACCTGTGCCTCCTTTGATGAAAGGTTAAACATAATGGCACCCTTTCTGATCCCTGACTGTGTAGTGATTGGAAACAGGGTGTGGGACCCTAGGAGAGGAAGTCTTATAGAATTCACCTCCCTGCTCTGAGAGCAGGCTGTCTCTACTGCTCCTCATGGCTTCTCTGTGGTCTTGCCCCCTTCCCACTGCTGTGTACATTTTTCTATCTGGGCTTCCTATGGACAAGGTACACAGACCTTGGGATACCAGCTCTTGGAATATTTGTCAGCAAGTCTTGGCTGATCCTAGAGAAAGGTGGCGTGATGTTCCTGCTGTCTCTCCCCGAATCTGAGATCCACGTACTGATAAGATAGAGCACGGAGGGAGATTAGGGTTAATGTCCCTGTGCAGAGCCGGTCACTGGCCTTTGAAAGAGTCACTGCTGTATCATCTAGAGTTCCCTATGGGGAAGCTCAGGCAGTTGGGTTGTGGTGCTGCTCCCTTAGCTATGTTCATGGGGACTGTGGAAATGGTGCTGGAAGAGGAAAGAGCTTTGACCTTCACCGAGGGAAATTATACAGACCTGAACACAGTTCAGTGCGTTACTTGGTTCTGCACAGGGGTGACCTTGATCCCAGAAAATGGGGTCCAATACTCTTAGGTCACTTTTCATCAGATCCGTTTACTTCCCCTGATCTCTGCCATACTGTGACATCTCCATCAGGTGGGACACTGTATTTGGGTCAGCCACACTTCGTGCTTTCACTGTTGTATTTTCCATTTCAGCTCTAATTTTTGACATAATTTTTTTGCATATGTGTAGTGTGGCATATGGTGTATGCATTTGTAAGTATTGTCTTGTAAGTATACATGCATGCGTGTGTGTGCGTATGTGTAAGCCAGAGGTTGATGTGGGTTATCTTCTTCTTCTATCCCTCTCCACTTTATCTTTCGAGATAAGGTCTCTTACTGAACCCAGAGCTCAATGATTTGACAACACTTTGCTGGTCAGTGAGCTCCAGAAATCTTCTTGTTTCTGTCTCCTCAGGGCTAGGATCACAGGCATGTGTCACCAATTAGCTGTGGATACAAACTTGGATCCTTGTCCCTGCAAGGCAAGTAGCTTACCAATCGAGCCATCTCCCCAGGCTTTTAATGCCAATTCTTATAAAAAATAAATGGCCTATTTTTAAAGATGAGTCATTTTCAGGGAATTTAACCAACTAATGGCACATAAGCACAGGCAAAATGTCTCATTCTGACCTTGTTCAAAAGATCATCTGGTCCGTAACCATAAGGATCAAGGAGGAGTCTTATTTCATGTCATTGGGACTAAAATATATATCCACCTCAGGGAAGTGCCCTTCAAATATCCTTTTCCATTTGCCCTAGGTGTTGTTCTAAGTCTGGGATCTATCTGTACTGTGGACTGGGGAAGAGCAGCATATAGAAAGAGTTGTGGACCTGAAAGGGGGCCGTTCCAGGTCGGGGGAACTGTTAGCAAGGGGAGATGAGTGAACCCTCTAGGCTGCAAGCTTTCCACTGATTTTAAAAGTCACTCTGAAGGCTATGAGGCTGTGCAATATATTGTTGGTTTCCACAGGCTTTGCTAGGAAAGACACATCTCACTGAAGCCCCCTGAGAACTGAAAACTATTCTCCAGGGAATGTCTCCCCTTGTCCGGTCTCCCAGGGAAAGCTGCCTCTATCGTCCCCACCCACCCTGGAAGAGTAGATTTTCATTATCTATGTCCTAGAAAAGTAGCCCTTTGCTATCTTCCCCTTCTCCACTGAGAAGAAGCCTTTTCTGTCCTAACAATGAGCCACAGAATCAGCCATTCGTGGGAAAGGAACTAAAAAGATGTGAGTCCCTGTGACTTTCTAATCAGCATTTTTTTTTCTTCAGATTCACAGAACCCAGAACGTCCTGCAGATAGCAACAGTTCCGCCTTAGTATCAGAAGAGTGGACCTCCAGACGTTTCTAACCACTCTGCTGCCAGCCAGCCTATCTGACATGCCTTTTAGACTCCATGCATGCTTGCTTATTTGTTTATTGGGTATGTGTGTGTGTGATCACACGCACTTGGGTATGCCTTTAAGGACAACTTGGGGGGGTGGGGGGAGGAGTCTGTTTGTTCTTCCACCATGTGGGTTCTGAGGATCAAACCTCAGGGATGACAGCAAGAGCTTTTACCTGCTGAGCCACCTTGCCAGTTTCCCATGCAGGTCTTGTACCTACAACGTCCAGGCAAGTGATCTTTGTTGGTCACAGGCTACATCTTTTCAGTCTGTCAACTCTCTAAAAAGTTTTTCTTCTTGCCCTAATAATTTGTTCAGATTGGCCAGATCACACACTCAGTCTAAGCTTCAGAACTTGGAGCTAATATAGGCAATAAGCCTGGAAAATTTTGCCAGTTTTGACCATTTAATTCTCTTATCAAAGAAAGAGTGTATCTTCTGAGCTGTTAGCGAAGAAAGAGTGTGGTGCCTTTTCTGAGCAAGGTAACACCTCTCTCTTCTGGGCAAAAGGAAGAGACATAAGTTAAGATGTTCCCATGTCTGCCTTCTATGGAGACCAAGATACGTGAAGGAGCTGCATCTCACAGATCCCCATAAATGCAGCTACCGTGAATAACTGAGGTACTCTGATATGTCAGAGACTACAAAGACCATATCTGAGGTCAGTTGTCTTTATTGTTCACACCTATTTCCTTGAGACAGTTCTCTCACTGAACCTCCTGTCTTTGTTTCTGCACAACCAATTGCTCTGTCAGTAGTTGGACCAAAACTATGAAGCAACAAGGAAGTGACACAGGACAGTGGTCTTCATTCTCAACCTAATCCCATAGGCCCCATGCCAGTGGCGCTCAGGCAGGCTTTGCGCATGTCCCGTGAGCCTCCAGCAGCTGCGCCTCCTCAGACTCAAAGCTTATTCTTCTCTCCTATTATTTGCATCTCAGTTGCTCCTTGACTCACTGACTTCCACTAACACACACATATGTCTTAGGGCCATGTCTTATTTAGTATTCAAATCTGGAGGGCTCTGATGACAGCTCCCCTGTCTCATTGAAGATCAGGAGCAGATGTGGCTGACCTCATCTAAGTATGCTCTTCCCCATTGGCTGATTCTCTCCAGCACATTTTATTTGGTGTCTTGTTCCTCTTTCCAGGACTGGGGGTGATTTAAAAACCAGACCAGGCCTGGTGGCACATGCATTTAATCTCGGCACTCAGAAGGCAGGGAGCAGGCAGAGCTCCAAATTCAAGGCCAGCCTGGTCTATATAGTGAGTTCCAGGACCACCAGGGTACACAGAGAAACCCTGTCTCAAAAACAAAAACAAATGCAAACAAACAAACAAAAACCACAAAAACAACCCCCCCAAAACCCAAAAAGCAAACAAAACAAAACAAAATAAAACAAAACAAAACATCTTTGTTGGAGCAAACAAGAATAGGAGAGGGTGTAAATCAGAGAGACGTCTGAGAAGGTGGAGTCTGTGCCCAAGCTGAAGAGACCAAGGGCTAGAGTTGGGCCTGATAAGCAAGCTCCTGTGGGACCGACGGGCTGAGACTGTGAAGTTCTGGCACCATGTCCTCGGCACAGGAAAGGAAAACTCTCCCTCATACTCTTCTGCTTCTCTTCCTAAGCTTCCAGTTCCTCATCACTCCTGTTTCGAAGGCCGATGAGGAAACGGCCGCCTCTGTTTATTTCCTTCCCACAGTGGAGTTTGCTGTGGAGACGTTCAACCGGAAAAGTCAGGAGGAATACGCCTACAGGGTAGAACATATCCTGAGTTCCTGGGAGGAGAAGGTAAGTGACCACATCCTTGCCTGTCCTGCCTGAATATACCTGCTACGCAGTGAGGGACAGGAGAGGGGAATCCACCTCTTTTGCAGGTTATGCATAACCTAATTCTGCCAGTTTCAATGTTTAACATACTTTTCCCACACAAATTCTTTTAAAATTAGATCATGTTCTATCCACATGCAAGCTACATATGTCATTCTTATTGGTTTGAAACATTTTAAATGTGTAAGTTTAGAGTGAAAATTTCTTTTTTAAAAGATTTTTATTATATTTATTTATTCATTCATTCATTTAATGTGTGTGTGAGTGTATGAGTGTGCGAGTGCATGTGAGTGTATGTGTGTGTGAGTGTCTGTGTGTTGGCATGCACAGAGGTCAGAGAATAAGCAGGGAACTCAGTTCTCTTCTTCCACCATGGATATTGGATATTGAGTTCAGGCTGTCAGCCTTGGGGGCAAGTGTCTTTACCTGATGAGCCATCTCACTGGTCCCAGAACAGACTTTTCTAAGCAGTTAAAACCACTCAGTAAGTAAAAGATCTACACACAAAAAGGTGGTGGTAGATGAAGTTGAAAAAATTAGTCAGACACAAAATTTAAAACAAACAAACCAAAACAGTAATTGGTAAAAATGGATAAAGTAAAAGAAAGATAATTAGAAAGAGGCTGGGGATTCATGGAGCACAGAAAAAGAGCACCGGACAGCTCCTCTTCTCAATTCCCTCCTGCTCTGGACGCCTGGCTGGCTGGCCCACTCTGCCCACCGACCACATCAGACCCTCTTTGTCATCCTATAATGCCCTTACAGAATGTGGTGAGGATAGCAATGCTCATCTCCAATGTTGCACTTCTGGCCATGTGGGGGGGGGCACTCAATTCTCCTTCCCTGGCAAAAGGCCAAGGGCCTCTAGCCCTGCCCAGCGCTGAGGCCTCTGAGATCACTGCTCAACATCTAAGTGGTTTTCAGAAGCACAGACTGTAAACAGAACAACCTGCTCCTGAAACACTGCTCTGGGCTGTGTTTGTACTGCAGGAGCTTTACTTGTAGCTCAGTTGAGAAAGTATCTGGAGCCCTGAGTTAGGGCTGACTGTCCAGTAAGCACTGGGAAAGCCACCCCTCTCCCAGAGAATGTCCTGTGTCCTCTGGGAGTGCAGGTGTAAGTTCAGGTGTCTGCTGAGAGTGAAGTCTGGGTTTTATGGCTGAATGTGGGTTACAGGGACTGGAGATAATGGACTCAGCCTTGACTTCTCTGCTTTCCAACAGGGTTCCACTTTGGGTTCTTAACTCTCTAATCTAGAGACTGCCTCCCTGGCTTCTGTCTCCATAGAGTTGCCACCAGGCCTTGGAAGAACTCCAAATGGAGGAGAAGCTGGATCTCTTGACACACTAAGCACAGTCACAGAGTCTCTTAAGTGGCAAGAAGGGTCTGTTCACTTTATTTTTTTTTTCTGTGTGCAGGTGGATTTTCCAGCTGTTTACTCCATGAAGCTTCAGATGCGTAGAACCATGTGCAAGAAATTTGAGGAAAGTCTCGACACTTGCCCCTTTCAGCAGAGCAACAGTCCGAATAATGTAAGGCAGGACATACACCTCCATGGTTTCTACAGCTGTGGGGGCTACAGGGACGGGCTGGGGTACTAGGAACTGGGCAGCTAGTCATAAAACATCCATGGTCACAAGTAGAAAGAAAAATGAATGGACACAAGTTTCTAGTACTTAGCCCCCTTTTCTCACTCAGATACAGTGCAGGTTCCAAACCCAGGGAATGGTGCCACCCCTAGTAGGTTAGGTCTTTCTGTAATTAATGTAATCAAGACAATCCCCTACCGACATTCTCATAGGCCAACCTGATCTATGTCATTCCTCACTGAAATGGTTTTCCCAGATTTGTAGTAAGGATGCCACTGGTTTGTTCCCAACAGCTTAGCCCCGAAATAATCACACAGAAACTGTATTAATTAAATCACTGCTTGGCCCATTAGCTCTAGCTTCTTATTGACTAACTCTTACATATTAATTTAACCCATTTCTATTAATCTGTGTATTGCTTTGTGGCTGTGGCTTACCGGCTAAAGTTCCTAGTGTCTATCTCCAGTGGGCTACATGGCTTCTCTCTGACTCTACCTTCTTCCTCCCAGCATTCTGCTTAGTTTTCCCCACATAGCTCTGTTCCCTGTGCAGGCCCAAGACAGTTTCTTTATTAACCAATGGTAACCACAGCCTACAGAGGGAAATTCCACATCACCTCCCCTTTTCTGTTTAAATAAAAAGGAAGATTTTTAACTTTAACATAATTAAATTACATATAACAAAACAGGTATCAAGCAAGAATTACAGTTACAATACTTATATCTATTTTATCTCTTATCATAACTAAGAAAAAACTATAATTCCAACTATAAATTCTTCAACTACATCAAAGACTCCAGAAGGATATGATATTACCTAAGTAAACAATAAGTTCATTGTAAGCAACTTCTAAAACTCTAGAATTGACAGAGACATCTCACTACCTGGATAGTCACCCAAATTCTTCTGTGCCATTGGGGCATCCATCTTCAGCCTAAAGACCCATAATATCCAGCAGACTTTTCCATGAAGCAGGAAATTTCAAAGACAGTTCTGCCTATATAGGCAGTTTGTCAGTCACTTTCTTCTGTGTCCTGCAGAATGTCTAGCAGACTTTCATGAAGCAGGAACCTTGAAGGATTGTCTCACCTTTAGGCAAGTTCAGCCTAAAGTTCTGTGGGTCTTGCTTGTCCAGTTTATCAAGTAGTCCAGGCAAGAATAGTTTCTTGCCCAAGTGACTAAACAATTCCATAAGGAGACTCTTCGATGCCCATCATTCTCTTGAAGTAATTGGGGCTGCGAGAAGCAGATGTGTCTCATTGTCATGAAATGTCCCAAGCTCTTAAAATATTTTAAATGCCATATTATATTTCATAGTCATTGAAAGGTTTAAAGAATGCCTATCCATCTGAAATACACCTCTGTACATCTAGAAAAGCAGAATAACATGACTATAAGCTTGACTATTATAGATGATTAACTATTAATCTATATTTATTAACTATATATTAAATTTTTAAATGAGCTACACAAACACAATACTTTAATCAAAATCATAAATATACATTTAACAGAACTGACTTTAAATTTGTATCAATAAACCAAGTTCTATGCCAACGCAAATCTCTATGGCGTATCCCACTTTAGATGTAAACAAACATTTATAAATAATATTTGGGAATATGGACATAGTTCTATCCAAACTGCTTCCTGCTGTTTATTGGGCAAAGTAATTTTTTGAGGGGCATTCAAGGTGACTTTTCAGGCAGTCTTAGTTCATCAAACCACATTAGTCTGGAATGATTCCATAGGTTATCATCCTCTGTGGAAACAAGAAGAACCTCTTTTCCAAACAACATATCCTCAGACTCAATTCTGAAGTCAAGATACCTATAAAGTATATCGCTGGTTACTTAGCTCCTTCACAGTCAAATAATTCAAAGAAAACACAATAATATACATAATCTAGACTCTCTGTGAATTTTCCATCTTTACATGGCTTACTTTTCTTCACTCCTTTTAATTTTTGACTGTCTGTACTCTGCTCTTTAAAGACATTGTTTTATTTTTAAAAAACCATTTACCTCTTTTTATAACTCTCTGTACTCTTTTTCTTCTCTCTCCCAAGTCTATGCACATTTATTCAACACTGTGACCCATTTAGAGGTCTTTTATGTCTGAATCTGTCCTATTGTGTATTTGAAATTCTTTTCTGTCTTGAAGAGCTTTTAAAATGGTAAGCAGCTTGGTTGCAGTGGCTCTGGATGCTGGCTCCCTCTCTCCACTTTCAAACTGGTGGAGGTACCATTACTGCCAACTCTGGGACTACCAGGTAGGAGCCATGCTCAGCACTCTTTAACTCTGAGAATGAGCATGCAGCACATACACCCTTTTTTATCTGAATAATAACTAAATATGCCATACAGAGCATTGCACGGCCTGGAAATATTTCTCTGTGTGTGGTGGCAGGAATCCACCATGCTCTCCTTCCTGTGCACTCCTAGCAGTCCTGATCCCACTGCTTGCCCAGGCAGGAGCGCTGAGCTACAGCCATGATCTCAGCTACTTTCCCATGCAGGCACCCGGGCCCACAAACCCCATTCAAGTGCTCCATAGCCAGACCTCCAGAAAAAGTCAGAGTTCACCATGCCAGTAGCGCAACCCAGAGATTCAGCATTTACAAACCTCAGCTTCTTTTTTTTTTCTGCTACTGCTGAATCAGGAAAACCTCTCTTAAAGGAGCTGCAGCATGCCGCCAGTAAGCAAAGCCCATTCGGGAAACTAAATGCAGGGTGCTTTCTACCATTACTGTTAGGTATGTGAATCACACAGGGACATCTTAGATATTTGTCTACGGGTCACTGTCTGCTGCCCATGGAATGGAAGCAAGTGCCCTGGGTTACTATGGAGCTTCAGATCAAGATATAGGTCAACACTTGCAAGGGTTCACTCGGTAGTCATGTCTGAAGGCCCTATCTCCTTCTACTACCTATTGGTCTACAGAAGTGAAAGGGTGAAATAGATGCTATTTGGAGCACAAGTCACAAACTCCCTTCACCTTCTTCTTTTAATGTCTTCTCTTGTTCTTTTCCCTCAGACCTTCACCTGCCTGTTCACTGTTGGTACCTTTCCCTGGGTAACAGAATTCAAGCTCTACAAGCATGAGTGCTCATAGTTCCTCAGGTTGGAGTCATCATGGGCTGGTCCTTCTTTCGCTTCTTTCTGCATTCATGGAGCAGTTATCCTTGGCAGGGCCTCCATGAGCTCATGTTGCTTGTTTTACAACATTGTGTAGTGTCAAGACTGAGTATGTGGATAATAACCAACAAAATTTCATATGGCTCTTGTTTCATCATTTAGAATAGCTCATTAAATATTGCATTTCTGACAACTTTCCATGTGTATTTTTAGAGGAAGCGCCATGGGGTGGTGGTGGGGGACAATTTGAGTTTCTAAGATGTTCCCCTAACCTTGACATTCCTGATGGGGGAACAAAGGAGACATAAGTAAGTAAGATGCATCAGAACTGCTGTCACGAAGTCAAGAAGCACAAGGGCTGTAGCCTCCCAGGATATCAAATATCCAAGAAAGGGCCCAGGCAGATCTTCTGCCACTCTTACCCTAAGGTATTTGTGCAGCCTCTGATCTTCAGAATGTGGCTTTCATGATTCCCTGGTGACAAAATGGGCAAGTAGGGTTTACATTTGCTAAAGAATTGCTGATTTCTTAATTTCTTAATCAGTCAAGGAGTCCATAAAATGGTTAAGAATATAAAATTTGGAAAACTCATTTCCCAAGATTAGTAACAAGGACACTTAAATGCTAACTGAAAACCACTGGACTTTGGGCTAGAGAGAGAACAATTAAGAGCATGTACTGCTTTTACAGAGAACCTGAATTTGAATTTCAGGACCTTCTTCTGGGCTCTGTGAACACCTGTACCCACATCTGCACATACTCCCATACGCATCATTAAAAATAAAATAAATCTTAATAATCTCTGTATGACATCACCTAGCTGGTGGGAGAGGACTTGATAGTACTCATCATACAAGCCTCAGTTTGAGCAAGTGTGGGCATGTGAACATATCCTCACAAGTGCTCAGAAATCAGGTGAGATTTCAGCACCAAGGGTAAGCACAGAAATAAAAGGAGACACTCTCACCAGGAATGACAGTTTTACATCACCCTTTTTAACTGTTCCCATCTTCAGGAAACAAACGTTCTCTCTGGTGGTGAGAAAAGACTGTAATCTGCTTTGCATGCCAACAATAGATTTGCCTTGGTGACTTCCAAGTACAGCCATATTGCATACCAACCTCAGTACCAAGCAGGCCCACAGTCTGGGATTCTAGCCCCACTCTGAGTAAAGATTCTTTTATTGGTTATAGAGTCTAGAACAACCCAAGGAGAATCTGGCATACCATGTCAGTAAGGTTGGCCCTAGTGATAAGAACTACAAACCTTCCCCAGTTTCTAGGCTGTTTCCCATGACCTAAGCTTTATTCTGACTTCAGCAGAACAAGAATCATGGGTCCATCATGTTCCAGCAAATAGGCCTGTTCTGATAGATTCCATTGTCCAACCATGTTAGCAGGTTTGATTCCAGGATGACCCTATAGACATGGGCTAGGCCCAGTTCTTCAGACCAATATCTACACCATCACCTGCTCTACCTTGCTTGTCCCAGGCTTAGGTCCGAAGGTGCTAGAACCTTTAAGAGCTAGAACCTGGTGATGAAAGCTAGATCATGGGGATACTTACTTATAAGAGATATGTGGACAACAATCTTTTGTTTTCTTTTTGTGTCCTAATTTCCTTCTAATTTAGAAGCATTGTTTAGACATAAGTTCCTACATGATGTATTAACTCATCAAAACCACACAAATACCAAACTAACAAACTGAGGACTAAAAGCTTCAAAACTCTAAGGTCAAATAAAGTTTTCCTCTTTAAGTTGATTTTCTTAGTTATTGCACCAAAGCAACAAGTCAACAAGTTGGCTAATCTTTGTGTGTCTCCATCACCTGTGAGATGGACAGTACTCCACCATTCCAGTTCTGTCACCAAGACATCTTCTGTCACAGCCAATGAGGTCATCACCATTACCAGGAACTCAGGTCATCAGAATACCACACATGGTTCCAGGACAACATTTTCTTTTTACTTCTGTTTTGTTTTATTGCATTTATTTTTTATGTGCATGGGTTTTACCGGCATGTATATCTATATAACAGTCTGTGTGTCTGGTGCCTGGGCAGGCCAGAAAGTGGCTTTAGATTGGCTAAGACTGCAGGTAAAAATATTTGGGAGATACCATATGGGTGCTGAGAATTGAACCCAGGACCTCTGGAGCAGCAGCCAGTGCTCTTAACCACTGAGCCACCTCTTTAGCCCTGACAACACAGTTCTTGAATTGTCACCAGTTGCTTAGGATCCTTATCATTCTGTGATTAGGAAGAAGCTTTCTACAGCCACAGGAGCTTTGTGAGTCTCCAGGGCAGCACCAAGGACAACAAGCATCAGCAGCATGATCAAATACCATCAAGCATTTGCAATCACCCAGACGTAAGAATATGCATGATAGCTGGGCTGTGGCAGTGCGTGCCTTTAATCCCAGCACTCAGAAGGCAGAGGCTGAAGCAGGCAGATCTCTGTGAGTTGTGAGTTTGAGGCCAGCCTGGTCTACAGAGTGAGACCAAGGACAGCTAGAGCTGTCACACAGAGAAACTCTATCTTGAAAAAAAAAAGAATATACAAGTTAAGCCCAGAAAGATTTCAAACCCCCACAGCACAGGGTCTGTGTCTACTTGTAGAATGAACTGTGATACCTTGCAACAACTAGTGACCTAACCCCACCTTAGGCCATGGCTCAGCAAGGTTTGTCAACATTAACAGTCACCTCCATGACCTCTGTGATCCCTGTGGTTTCTCATCTCCCAAAGTTGATCTCCTATGCAGTTATAAACCCTGTATGATCAAGGAAGAGTGGCTGTGTTTCAACAGGACGTGCTATTGATATGAGCAAGTTGTGGTTTAGGCAATTCTTGATCTTGGGTTCCAAAACCTTCATAAGAGCCCTCTGGGTGGTTCTGGGACTCACTCAAATGCCAGCCCACTGCCAGTTGTCATCCTAACTACCACTGATGCCCTGTCATCTCAGAGCTTCCAGATCCTTAGTAGTCCTAGGCAATTCTGTTACTTCAAACAATTCCAGCAAGAGAATTCACAACTACTTGTTGTACAGTTGCAATCTTTGCAGTATAGACAGCCATGGAAACTAATATTTCTTAATCACCTCATTACATTGATGCCAAGAGAGAAAGTCTATTTTCCCTAACATTCCCATGAAAGGAGGCTTGTACCTGCTTGATAACCCCTCTGTGATCTGTAGTAAAAACTAGCAGGAGTTGACCAATGCTCAGCTTTTGAGTGACAATCAAGCTGCTAGAATCTCACATCTATGTTGGCTTCTTTCTTCCGACTTATTGAGACCTGGAAATGCTCACTGGAACAGTTGACTGTCAAATTTTCCCAGAGAACACTGCCCATTATAAAGAGTCCCAACAGACTGTCCTCTGTGGGTGGCATCTTTTGTGTCCCAGATTACCAGAAAATAATCACTAGTAATTTTTATATAATATTCCATTATCAAATCACTGCAGGTGGGAAGCTATTTGCAGATAAGTGGATTTGTGTAACTATCAAATGATCTCTCTTTTTAGTTTTCTTATAATATTCTAGAAATATTTTTTGTTTGTTGTTAGACTTTAACAATGGATTGCAATCTGAAAGAAAAAACCATGGGAAAAGTCAGGGTGCAATTCAGCAATCAGATGCACGTGGAACATCAGTAAACACAGTCATGGAAGGAGCTAGAGTGTTTTGAAAATCAGGAAGAGCGTGGGTTAAAGGAGGTATTTTCTGTATTCAGTCAGTGCTTCTTGTTGGGAGTGTGTGAGATTCCAAGCCCAGCACCAGCCAGCCACGTAGAAACAAGCACAAGCTGAGAGGAAAGGGGGGGCATGTGTTTCATGAGGGTACTACTAGTAAGAACTCTTTATGGTCTTGGGTAAGTGGTTCAGCTGTAGGATATCCTCTGTTTTGGGGGAAAAATAAAGTCTTGGTTTAGTATTACTGTGAAATCTTCAATGAATACCAGTACCGAGGGTCCTCAGGGGCCTCTTGAATTGTGAGATAGAGCAGATTACAATTTTTTCTTTTTATTGATTTTGTTATTTGAAAATTTTATACGTAGGTTCTATATATTCTGATTCCTTTATCCTTATCTTCCTCTCATCCCTGTCAATACCCCACCTTTCCACCAACCCCATTTTTTTTTACCAGATTCATGACTTATGGCTTTGTTTTGTTACCATCTAGTTTAATCAGGGACATTTGTATGACACTTGGGTTGGGATTATCTTTTGGAGTCTGATGGGGTCATCAGTAGGTACACAACTAAATGCAATGATTCTTCATCTCCTAATAGGTCATCAGTGAAGAGCAGGTTCTCTGAGTCCTTCTGTCCGTGACTGAGTGCTGATGAATTCGTACCTGTGTAGACCCAGGGAAGGCATCCATAGATGCTGCATTTGTCTTTGAAATGATTGTGTCTTCTGAATCTTCAGACCCACTTCTGACCTTCTTAGGCACATGCACATACACATACCACACACAAATACACATTAATAATAAAATTAATTTTTAGACAAGATTCTCTAAAATTCAGAGAACATTGTGGAAGAGGGAACAGAAAAAAAATGTAGGAGCCGGGAAATAAAAAGAAGAGACATGAAATAAACACATAAAATCTCAGACACTTGCAAGAAGCACAGAGCTTCCTATGCCTGTATTTGCTGCTTCCTATGAACGTCAGGTATCTTCAGAAAAAGGAGCAGGCCTGGACCAGTGCTGTGGGTCCCAGTCAGGAAAGCCCCAGAGAACAAGTATTTTTCAACAGGTTGAACTGTTTTGAACGTGGGGTACTGATGGTGAAGGAGCAGATGAAGATCTAAGGAAGCAATCAAAGTAGGATGGGGGATGGAGGAGGCTCAGGAAGCCTGTGGTTTATTATCAGGCTCCTGTCTACTCAACCTTATCCCTTTCTTGACCAGCAGTTGGAAGATTTTAGCCTTTGATTACAGGTGTAACCACAACTCAAACTCTGCTTGAGTGGTGAGCTGTGTGCATCTGGGCTTTCTCTTGATCCAGAGGCATTTGGGGTATTGTCCTTACCCAATAAGTGACCCCCAGAAGAACTTCTGGACTGTTACTGTGTGATGCAAGCTCCCAGGAACAGTAGGGGATGCTCTGTTCCAGAAGGAGTTGACTACTGTCAGACATAAGTCATTAGTTAAGCTACTAATTTTTCTTGATGGGGGTCTACCA